CACAGATGTAGGCTTTAACTCCTGATTCAAAGTGCTTTGGTTGTCAGGTAGCTTCCCGCCAAAGGTTAATAAAAGTTAAGTCAGTCATGCCCCCAGTTTCAGAAAAAAATGCTTAGAAGTACACTTTGGCCCTAGCCAGTTTGGCTCAGTGGATAGAGCGTCCGTGGGCCTGGGGACTGAAGAGTCCCGGGTTTGATTCCGGTCAGGGGCATGTACCTTGGTTGCAGGCACATCCCCAGTAGGGGGTGTGCAGGAGGCAGCTGATCGATGCTTCTCTCTCATCGATGTTTCTAACTCTCTATCCCTCTCCCTTCCTCTCTGTAAAAAATCAATAAAATATATATATATTTTAAAAAGAAGTACACTTTGCTTGAGATAATAGAAAATACAGCTAGTGACTCTCAAAGCAATGATTGCCTAAGCCATAACACTGATCGCAAGATGGTTAGCTCCTGCCTTTTGCTTTAAAGATAACATCGCTGACACAATTGTGAGGTATGTTGCAGAATCTTGGTTCCTCAATCAACCACAGTCACAAAGACACCAGACAAGATGCCCTCAGGAACTAAATTCATGAAACAAAGGGAAACCACTGAAGTTTGCACAAAAACTAACCTATCAGCTTTGCCCTTGACCCCTAACCCTCAATCTTTGCTTTTAAATACCCTTGATGGCCTGGCCAGGGTGGCCCAGTGGTTGAGCATCGACCTATGAACCAGGAGCACCTGGTTTCCTCCCAGCACCTGGAAGATGCCTGGCAACAGAGGTGGTCAATGAATATCTTTTCTTTTAATTTTTTTAAAATATATTTTTTTATTGATTCCAGAGAGGAAGGCAGAGAGAGATAGAAACATCAACGATGAGAGAGAATCATTGACCGGCTGCCTCCTGCACAACCCCTACTGGGGATCGAGCCCGCAACCTGAGCATGTGCCCTTGACTGGAATTGAACCCGGGACCTTCCAGTCCGCAGTCCAATGCTCTACCCACTGAGCATTCCGGTCAGGGCACATGCCTGTGTTTCGGGCTCCATCCCTAGTAGGGGGCGTACAGGAGGCAGCTGATCAAAGATTCTCTCTCATCACTGATGTTTCTATTTCCCCTTTCCCTTCCTCCCTGAAATCAATAAAGATATATATATATATATATATATATATATATATATATATATATATGTATATTTTTTTTTTTTTAAACACCTTGATGAAAAACCACCAGGGAGTTTGGATTTTGAGTGACAGCTCATCATTCTCCTGCCTTGATGCCCTGCCAAAAAACTGGTTTAATGTCCCCATTGCACAGTTCAGTGTCTAACGTTTGGTCCCCTGGACAGTTTCGGGGACTCCCTGGTTCAGTAACAATGCTCCCTACCCCAGGGCCTTTGCACTGGCTCTGTCTTCTCCCCAGAAACCCCTTCTCCCAGGTATCCCCATGACCCGCACCTCCATCAGGTCCTTTCTCACGGTTGCCTTCTCAGCGACACCGTCTCGTGAGCACCCTACATAAAAATTGGAACCTGCACATCCTCAGGGTTCCTTGTTCTCCTTTCACGGTTTATTTTTCTCCTTAACCCTTACGGCCATTTGACACTCTACATTTTATGTGTTTATCTTTTCTTCACACCTGCCTCCCCTCACCCTAGTGCACATCAACTCCATGAGGGCGAGGTCTTTTCATTTTGTAAATCTATTTTGGTCACTGCTTCCCTCCCAGCACCTGGAAGATGCCTGGCAACAGAGGTGGTCAATGAATATCTTTTCTTTTAATTTTTTTAAAATATATTTTTGTATTGATTCCAGAGAGGAAGGCAGAGAGAGATAGAAACATCAATGATGAGAGAGAATCATTGACCGGCTGCCTCCTGCACGACCCCTACTGGGGATCGAGCCCACCACCTGAGCATGTGCCCTTGACTGGAATTGAACCTGGGACCTTCCAGTCCGCAGTCCAATGCTCTACCCACTGAGCCACACCAGCTAGGGCAATGAATATGGTTTGAATGAATGAATCAGGGCGCTGATGGGGGATGTCAGGAGGCTGTAGAGATTCAGTGAACCAGGCTGGGAGGAGAGGGAGGGCTTCCGGAAGGAGAGAGCGTCTGAGGGAACCAGGTCACGCACACAATTCCCAGTCTAGTAGGAGCCCCTGGCAACAGGTAACCCGACAGCGGGAGCGCCCACCGCCCACCCAGCTCCGAGCCCGGGCTCACCTCGTGTGCATAGGCCTTGCCGATGCCACTGGTGGCTCCTGTCACCACTGGAGCGGAGAGAAGGTGGATGAGCAGGAGGGGTGGCCTGGCACTGCCCAGCCCCTCCTCAGCCCCTTCCGCGGAGACCCACCCCCACCCCGCCCGGTCCTCATCCCTCACCTGCCTGGACTCTGACACCTGCTCCCCTCACCTGTACAGTTTCGGGGCCTCCATGCCCGCCTCGCCCTGGCTGGCCCAGCCTTCACTTCTCTTGCTTCCAGAACTCCCCTCTGCCTCTGCCCGGATCGGGGGGCCCTCGCCTGTCATCTATCTTGGTTCCCGCGTTCCTGCGGGCCCCCAGCTCCCCACCGGGCGCAGGGCCCTTGCCTCTCACCTGCCCAGGCTCCGTGCGCCCTGAGCCAAGGGGCCCCCCGGCGCACCGGGGGCAGCAGGTACACGTAGACTGTGCAGCCCACCCCCCACGTCGCCCACAGCAGCAGGCACACGGCGGTCACCGCCCCCAGCGCGCTCAGCGAGTCCCACTCCGACTCCATCGCAGCCCTTTAAGGCACCAGACCCAGCGCCCAAGCCGGGAGGCGGTCCCTCGGGGATCAGCGCTTTCCACCTTCACCCGCCGCGCCCGCCGCGTGAACCCCTCCCGCCCCGCAAGGCTCAGCCCCGCCCCTCGCTCTAGCCACGCCCCGTCCTTTCCCTGCACCGCTCCTCGCCATCTACTAGGTCACGTGGGCGACATGCCCACCCACCCCTACCCTGCAGGCCCAGTGACAGCCTCGTCCCTCATCCCCCCCCGGGCCGGGTGGAGCACCCCAGCCCTCAGGTGACCTTTGCTTGGGTCACTGAACTCACCGTAGCGACCGGTGGGAGCCTCACTGGAGTTTTGTCAATACACAGAGTTTGTCAGGAGACCTCGATCTGCTGATTTGCTGCTCAGGCAGACTGAAGCCAAAGCCAACAAGACCTTGCTCCTCAGTCTCCTTTTACAAATTCTATTTCTCTCCTCCTCCTCCTCTTCCTCCTCCTCCTCCTCCTTCTTTACTTGTTCTTAATGTTTATTATTATTATCGTGGTACAATATACACAACATAAAACATGCCACTTTAATGCTTTTTAAGTGTATGATTCATCAACATTAAGTACATTCACAATGTTGTGCAACCATCCAGTTCCAGAAATATGTCATCATCCCAAATAGGAACTCTGTACCATTAGATAATCACTCCCCATCCTTCCTTCCCCCAGGTCCTGACTTTTTTTTTTTTAATAGAGGGAGAGAGAGAGAGATCAATTCGAGAGAGAATCGTACCCCGCTCTGGATCAAACCAGCAACCCTTTAGTGCACAGGACGCTGCTCACCCAACTGAGCCACACCAGCAGTGCGGTCCTGGTAATCTTTATTCTACTTTCTGTCTTGATGAATGTGCATATTCTTGCTGCCTCATATAGAGAAGTCATATATCTGTCCTTTAGTGTCTGGCTTATTTCACTGCTATAATGTGTTTAACGTTTGTCTATGTTGAAGCCTGCATCAGAACTTCTTTCTCTTTTATGGCTGAATACCGTTCCATTGTTTGACTATACCACAGTTTGTTTATTCATTCATCTGCTGTTGGACATCTGGGGTGTGTCTGCCTTTGGCTATGGTGACTAATCTACCATGAACATTTGTGTGAAAGTAACTGTTTGAGTCCCTGCTTTTTTTTTCCTAATTGTTTTTTTAAATTTCTTTATTGATTAAGGTATTACATATATGTCCTTATCCCCCCATAGCCCCTCCAACCCCCCCCCCCCACACACACACTCATACCCTCACCCCCTGTTGTCTGCGTCCATGAGTCCCTGCTTTTGAGTCTTTTGGGTGTATATCTCGGAATGGAATTGCTGGATCATATGGTAATTCTATATTCAACTCTTTGAGAAATCTCCATACTGTTTTCGATAGGAGCTGTATCATTTTACATTCTCATCAGCAGAACACACGGGTCGCAATTTCTCCACATCCTTGCCAACACTGTGACCTTCTGTTGTTGTTTTAAATAATCGCCACCCTAATGAGGGTGAAGTGGTATCTGACTGTGCTTTGATTTGCATTTCCCTAGGGAACAGATCTATCCTTTTTTTTTTTTTTTTTTTGGTTTATTTTATTTTTCAAGTAGAGTGTAGTAATCAAGAACATAGGGTCTGGAGCTAGGAAGTTTGTTTGTTTTGCTTGCTTGTTTTTTAATCCTCACCCGAGGATATTTTTCCATTGATTTTTTTTTTCTTTTTTAGAGAGTGGAAGAGAGAGGGAAAGACAGAGAGAAACATCAATGTGAGAGAAACACATCAATTGGTTGCCTCCTGCAGTGCCCCGACCAGGGCCAGGGATTTAGCCTGCTACCAAGGTACCGTGCCTTGACCAGAATCGAACCCAGGACCTTTCGGTCAACAAGTCGACATTCTATGCATGGAGCCAAACCGGTTAGGGTGAACAGATCTGTCTTTCATGAGTTTATTGGCCATTCACATATCTTCTTCGGAGAAATATCTATTCAAATCTTTTGCCCTTAGTTGAACTGAGTTGGTTTTTGTTGTTGAGTTGTAGGAGTTCTTTATATATTCTGAATACTAATCCCCTAGCAGATGTATGATTAGTGAATATTATTTTCTCTTCTATAAAAGCTGTATAGTTTTAGCTCTGTCAGGTCTTTGATTCATTTTAATTTTTTTAAACACATGTTTTTACTGATTTTTTAAGAGAGTAAGGGAGAGGGTGAGAGATATAGAAACATCAATGAGAGAGAAGCATTGATCGGCTGCCTCTTGCATGCCTCGTACTGGGGATCGAGCCTGCAACCTGGGCATGTGCCTGACCGGGAATCAAAAGCATGACCTCTTGGTGCATGGGCCAATGACCAACCACTGAGCCACACTGGCCGGGTCTCATTTTAATTTTTGTATATGGTATAATTTTTGTATATACTATAAGGTAAAGAAAGAATAAGCTTTTCTTTTTTGCATGTAAATATCAAGTGTTCCTAGCACTATTTGCTGAAAAGACCATTTTCCTATTGCATGCTCTTGGTACCCCTGTCAAAAATAACTGACCAAAAAATAAAAATAAATAAAAATAACTGCCCATATATGTGAGGGTTTATTTCTGGGCTCTCTATTCTATTCCACTGGCCTATCTGTCTGTTCCTAGGCTAGTACCACCATTTTGATTACTGTAGCTTTGTACTTCTTTTTGGCTATTCAGAATCCATTGAGATGGTATCCAAATTTTAGGATAGATTTTCCTATTTCTACAAAAAAGCACTGTTGGGATTGTTATGCCCAGATTTCAAGATTCCCAAGAAACCACATCAGGGAGCCAGTCAATCCGATGCAAAAGCATAAGAATCTGTATTTCAAGCTAGCTCGGCTCCCCGTCCACCAGACTCACCGACACAACGACAAGCCAAGTGGCGAAGAGCCAGAACCCCGCCTATAGACCGGTTATATAGGGGGGGTGGAAGTAAGGGGAGGAGAAAGGACTGTGCTCTGCCGATTGGCCAGGCGCAAGCCGGGTCTTGTTACACAGGATGTGGTCATATCTATGGCGCGCACTTCCCTTGATTGTCATTGGTTAGTTTTAAATCCCGGGCGTGGCCAGCAGAGGCCTGGGCTTCTGGGAAGAAGACTACACGTGGCCCCAACATGGAGGATACAGGCAAGATGGAGGGGAGGGCATAGCCCTCGCCCTTTCAGGGATTTTGATAGGGATTGCACTGAATCTGTAGATCATTTTGGATAATACTGAGATCTTAACAACATTAAAGTCTTCCGATCCATGAATGTGGGATGTCTTCCTATTTGTGTCTTCTTTAATTCTTTCAACAATAGTTTTTTTTTAAATGTGTGTTTTTCATTGATTTTAAAGAGAGAGGAAGGGAGAGGGAGAAAGAAATATTGATGTGAAGGAGAAACATTGATCAGTTATCTGCAGCACACATCCCCAGGGTCGTGGGCTCAATCCCCATTGTGGGGCGTGCAGGAGGCAGCCGATCTATGATTCTCTCATTATTGGTGTTTCTATCTCTCTCTCCCTCTCCCTTCCTTTATGAAATCAGTAAAAATATATTAGCTTTTTTAAAAGGAAAGAAAGGAGAAAAGGTCATATTTAAAAATGAAGTTTTGCCCTAGCTGGTTTGGCTAAGTGGATAGAGCTTCAGCCTGCGGACTGAAGGGTCCTGGGTTCGATTCCAGTCAAGGGCACATGCCCAGGTTGCTGGCTCCATCCTCAGTGGGGGGTGTGCAGGAAGCAGCCGATCCATGATTCTCTCTCATCATTGATGTTTCTCTCTCTCTCTCTTCCTCTCTGAAATCAATAAAAATATATTTTTAAAAAAGGATTAAAAAACAGCCCTGACCAGATAGCTCAGTTGGTTAGAGCCGTGGTCGGCAAACTGTGGCTCTCGAGCCACATGTGGCTCTTTGGCCCCTTGAGTGTGGCTCTTCCTAAGCCTTAGGAGTACCCTAATTAAGTTAATAACAATGTACCTACCTATATAGTTTAAGTTTAAAAAATTTGGCTCTCGCCGAAACCGGTTTGGCTCGGTGGATAGAGCGTCGGCCTGCGGACTGAAGGGTTCCGGGTTCGATTCCGGTCAAGGGCATGTACCTGGGTTGCGGGCACATCCCCAGTGGGAGATGTGCAGGAGGCGGCTGATCGGTGTTTCTCTCTCATCGATGTTTCTAACTCTTTATCTCTCTCCCTTCCTCTCTGTAAAAAATCAATAAAAAAAAATTTGGCTCTCAAAAGAAATTTCAATCGTTGTACTGTTGATGTTTGGCTCTGTTGACTAATGAGTTTGCCGACCACTGACCGTTAGAGCATCATCCCCAGACACCAAGGTTGCTGGTTTGATCCCAAGGGTACATATAAGAACCAACCAATGGCCCTAGATGGGTTGGCTCAGTGGTTGAGCGTTGGCCCGTGATGATGTTACAGTACTGGGGAAATGGAACCAATTGTGGTCGAGGGTAGTCTAGGGTACGGGGCAAGTTTATATTAGTAGCTGGAGCATCAGGGCAAAGTTGATTAATAATACCTTGGTAACGGGGCAGTATTGATTAATGTAGCCCTGGTAACTTTGTGTCTGTATCCCAGGTAACTTTGTGTGTGTTTAGCCAACCGTTTTGTAGTTTCTATGTATAAAAGGCTGGCCTAGAACCAGGTTCAACGCTGTCGTAGGAGAAAACGCCTACGGCAGTCACTGGCCAGTTTTCAATAAATCCTCGCTTGCTGCTTAAGACCTAATTGGAGTTGGTGGTCTTACTCTCGCAAACATTGGTCCACAACAATGAAGGGTGTCCGGTTCAATTCCAGTCAAGGGCTGGCACCTCGGTTATAGGCTCAATCCCCAGCAGTCCCAGATGGGGTGAGTGCTGGAGGCAACCAATCAATGTTTCTCAAACATCAAAAGTTTCTCTCTGTCTCTACCCCTCCCTTCCACTCTAAAAAAAAATCAGTGGGAAAAAATAATCTTGGGTTAGGATTAACAACAAAAAAAGAGGCAACCAATGAATGCATAAATATGTGTAACAAAAAAATCGCTGTTT